TGGGGACAAGTTTTTAACTGATTGAAAGGATGTCAACATTAACAAGGGAGTTTCTCTCTCATGCTCATCTGCTAATGCTGGCTAATGAATACAGGTAAATGCACAATGTTAGGATATGATGCTAGGAAAAGGAAAGAAAATTGTGGTTCTGGACATGAAAACAGTTGTTGGTACAGTGGTACCTCTGGTTACAAACTTAATTTGTTCTGAAGGTCCGTTCTTAACCTGAAACCATTCTTGACCTGAGGTACCACTTTAGCTAATGGGGTCTCCCACTGCCGCCGCCGCACAATTTCTGTTCTCATCCTGAGGTAAAGTTCTTAACCCGAGGTACTACTTCTGGGTTAGCGGAGTCTGTAACCCAAAGTTTTTGTAACCCCTAGGTGTTTGTAACCCGAGGTACTGCTCTTTGCAATTTTGCTCTTTGCTGCTGTTTCTGGCTTGGTAAGTTTGTGTTTTCATGGTTAGCTAGATCAGGATTGTTTTTTGGGGGAAGAAAAAAGGGGGGATACTTTTTACAAATAATAAAATTGTTATCAATGGGAGAATTTGGGACCAAATCTGTGTCCTGGCCTCTGGAAATTGCAGCAGTACAGTCTTACTCCTTCCACATGTTGATGGCGGAGGGAGAGTTAGGATGGCATGAAGTTGCCTCGCCTCTGCCAGGCGCTGACAAGGCAGAGACAAAAAGCTGACACTGGCAGTTCTTATGCCAGTGGTAGCCAGTGGGAAATCCTGAAATGGGGTGTTGGAGCCAAAGCCCCACTAGTCCTTCAAACTTTGGGCCCCCTGGCAGTAGCATTTTTTTTTAAGCTGCCCACCTTTAGAAATGGTGGTGGAGCTGCTGCTCTGCTCTCCCCAGTTCCACTGCTCTCCATCTCCAGATTGGATCGCTGTGAGTTTATAAGAAGATGCCCCCTATCCAGTTTTTAAGCTTCCCTTAAATACTATTTTTTTAAATGTGAAAGCAAATATTCAAAATTATCTAGAATATTCTGTGTTGGAAGTCAGGCACTGTTATTATTCACGGCACCCTACAGTTATGTAGTGGGTTAATTTCCCTGACCTCAAATGATAATCTAGAGTATAGGCTTCTACACCATCAGCAACTGCTAGGAATTCAGATGCCAAATAGTGTCCTCTCATAGTTTTTATATAACCTTGGTATAATTTGTTCTAAACCATTCTCCTTATTTCAGTCTGCAATAAATAGGATTCCCACTTTTCACAGTTTCTCTGTAACGGTTTGCTATCCTGCATGTAAAATATAACAGATTCTGTTGCTCTTTTCATCCCGCATCTCCTGAGAATGCTTTTTATATATATATCTATTACTTTACTTTCATAAGAAAACTCTTTTCTGTTGTAACACTTGCAAATCAAGATCTAAGCAATTTGCTGTTACCAAGCCAAGGGCTAATGCAATTTTCAGTGCACTCACTGGAAGTAATTTAGTCTTTCTCCATGTGACAAAAATTGATTTTATTCATTTTGAAATCAATATGTCACATTTGCTGATTTCTTGACTGGTGAATCCCTTTACAGACAATCTCAAGGGGTGCAAATCATATGTTTGTGCTTTTTAAAAAATGTTTTGTAGAGCTGGGCCTCATGATAAACCAAGAGAAAATATGCATTCACACATGCAAGGTGAACATTTTTGGAATTTTGTTTCCCATAATTCATAGCGGGAAGGCTTCAGGCTTTTTAGGGAAAGAGCATTTAAACATTTTCTTAAATTCATTGTAAATCAATGAAAAAAAACCCTAAGGTTTGTTTTAAAACACAAATTTAAAAAGTATTTCATCCAGCAGCAAAATGACCCTAAAGAAGGTACCAGATGAATCTCTCGAGGTGCCACTACAGAGAAGTCTTTTCCACTGTAGCCTCAAAGGCCAAGTCATACATGACTTCACATGGATACCAATGGGATCTAAGTCTGGATCCAACTGGTGGTGTGAATGCATCTCCCCTTGAAAGCTGCTTGGAGGTTTTAGCTGCTATTGGATGTGATATATTTTCTTTGCCCTCACTATGGGGGGCAGCCACCCTGATTTGCCCCAGAATGCACATGTATTCCAAAAAACTAGAATAATGTCTCACTCCATGGGTAGCGTTCAGCCTAGCAACTCAAGAGTAGACCCTTTGAAATTCATGAGCACAACAAAGTTAAGTCCATTAGCTTTAATGAATTAAACACATGCCTGTCCACAGCAGCCTGCTCTACAGCCTCCTGCAGCCTCTGCCCCACAAACACAGAATAAATAATCACAAATATAGCAGAGCAAGCTGGGATAAAGCACTTTGCTGCTCTAATTGTTGATAAGCATGCTCCAAAGCTGCAGTGCATCGAATCAATATGCCAGAAATAGCACTATTTGAGAGACAAATTAGAATGCTTCTGCTTTCAGTTTACAGCCGAATGCTGGAGGGCGGCAGGGGGTGTTGAGAGGTATGATGGCCGTGCATTTTTTGCTCAAATTATCAGCTTGATCCAGTTTCTGATAACTTAACTATCCTTTCCACCATTTTGGGCATCTCTGCTAGTCACAACATCACTGCTGCAGTAGCCTTTTCCTTCCAGTCCCCTCACATCCTAAATAATGACAACAATCTGTCCTGATTTTTTAAGGTGCCTTACCCACCTCTGTCATAGGAGCATAGGAAGCTGTCTTAGAGCAAGTCAAAACATTGGTACATCTCACTCACTATTGCAGCAGAAGCTCCATAGGGTTTCAGTCTTGGATGTTGGGGATTGAAGTTGGGCCCATCTACATGCAGAAGACATGCCTCACTACTGAACAAAATCCCCTCTTGTCTTCAGCATTGTCAGGGAACTGACATCGGAGCCAGAGGCGGAGGCAAGGCTCCCAAGTGATGCTGGAGAAGGGCCCAGCAGGGAGAGAGGCAGCTCATCAGCTGGGGAAGGAAATCAGCGTAACACCAGGGATAAAGGGGGGCAGATGGGGAAATCAGCGAGGGGCTCCAGGACTCCTCGCCGGAGACCAGCGGGGAGAGCACGGGTCCTCCGCTACCCACACCCTCCCTGCGCAGAAGACTTCCGCTCAGGGAGAGTAGGAGGAGACTTGGCGTCAAACAGCTTTTATGCTGGAAAAGGTTTAAGAAACGCCCACTGACGGATTCTGCTAGCGACTGAAACAGCCACGAAGTGAAGGGCTGTCCAGACAGAAAAGGTTTAACCAGGCAACCTAGCCAGGAGTGGCAGCAACTTACGCACGAGCAACCCCTATATTTATTACAAGCATGTAATGATTTCGCTAAGCCTGACAAAAGGTTTTGTTGTGTCATGACGTAAATGATACAGCATGTTAAGAGAAGAGATGCTGTTCTTTGGTGGCGGTCCTGTGTTGCCTCTCACATTTACTTCGGCCTTCACACAGCTCTGTGGGGTTTTTTTGGGGGGGCAGTTGGCAGTTGGCATCACATTATGACAGCGAACTCTACAGAACACATACTTGCAAATGTATGATTCCACAATATTTCCCCAGTACAAAATGCTCAGAATGTGCAAAGCTAGCCTGCAGGGTCGTGATATGTGCACAATGCCATTTCTCATTTTCTCTGTTTGCAGGGAAATCTGTGGAGAAATGAGAGGTGTGGGCAAATTCACCCCCTACTGTTTTGGCATTTATTTATTTATTTAGTTCAAGCAGAAGAAATAACTAGGATGAGGACTCTACACCCTCCAAACCCTTCCTGAGTCACATGAAATAAATCTTCATGGCCCTGTGAAGATGGACAGGGTGCAAAATTTGTGAAACTTTCACAGCAGTCTGAACCTGCCAGGAACCTGAATGGGGTGGGGGGAATGGACAGCAGGAATAAGTGTCCCCTACTGTCTGGAGTTCTGAATAAATCAATGGGTAATTTATTGATCTGAACATAATCAAATCAGATGACGCATAAAAACCACCCACTCGCCTGGGAAAATGCTAAAATTCTTTGTTCATACTAGTGAAGATCTAGTATTAACCTGAAATATTAGCAATGTTCTCTTGATTTATACATTCAGTGAGGCACCCGCCACTTTTTTTCCACCACCAGAAGATTGTTTTATCTTCCTGAAATTCAGCTTGAATTTTTCATGTTTGTTTCCATATCATTATTCCAGCTAGCCTTCTTTTCTCTTTTCTGCTTGTTTTCCTCTAATAATTGCAGCCTGATGCTATGCACACCCTATTAGCTGTTTAGCACAGCAAGCTTTTAATCTTTCCAAAGAAATCGGTCCTTCCAGATTCAGATAACTAGAATTTCCCCCCTCCTTTCACATTACAGACTATGCTGGGTGTGGAAACAAATGCAAATGTCCAGGTAACAGAATATAACCTTGCATTGCACACAATGCACACCAAGAATTAATAGCAACTAGACTCCCTCCTCCGCATTCTAGTTTGCTATTATGGGGTGGGGGGGGGGAGAGAAAAAAAACCTCTTCCTCATGATAAAAATAAAAACAGTCATTTAAAGACAATTTGAATAAGCTGAGGCACATCTGAATACATTTTCCCTCCTGCGAGTGCTGACATAAATCTAAGAAAGATTAATTAGTTGCGTGATCGCTATTCTTGTCACTCTTACACTTCCCAAGAATTCTTCTGCTTCGCTGTTACTCGCAACTTACTTTGTTCACACCCTGTCACTTTTAATCATTAGACATAAACTAAGCTCACAGTACACATTTATTACCATGTCATGGATAGCAGAGAAGCGTTACAACATTTTATGTTCCTGTCTTTCTCTTGCTCAGTTTGTCTTACTTGCTGTTTGGATAGCTTTACCGCACGCACACAAACAGAGCAACAACCCCGCCACGGTTTCCCTGCTGTCTTCCAAACTCAAGCCGCTGCTGAAACACTGCAGAAGGCTAGACCTGGTTTCCTGAGTTGTGTGTGGACGAGCAGAGACTAAATTCTGCAAACTGCTGGTTTAACATACCCAAGAAAAATGTAAGTCATTGGCCAGAGAGTCCTTGGTTTGAGGGGGCCTTAGCTCAGTGCTAGAGCATCTTTCTTGTGCAGAAGAAGTCCAAGTTTCAATCCCCTGTAGCTCCTGAAATCTGGAGAGCTGCTCCCAGTCAATGTTGACAATAGTGAGTGAGATAGACCAATGGTCTGGCTCAGTAAAAGGCAGCTTCCCAGGGCTGGATTAACCATTAAGCAAAATAAGCATGGGCTTAGCGCATCAAGGGAAAGGAGGCACCACAGAACATTTTCATTGCCTTATTTTACCATGGACCATATGTGGCAGTTGAACTTGATTCCATAAAAAAGGTTTCCACCATAAATGAAAAAAATTACATACAGTGGTACCTCGGGTTACAACGCTTCGGATTACAAACGCTTCAGGTTACAGACTCCGTTAACCTGGAAGTAGTACCTCGGGTTAAGAACTTTGCTTCAGGATGAGAACAGAAATCATGCGGCGGTGGCACGGCAGCAGCGGGAGGCCCTATTAACTAAAGTGGTACCTCAGGTTAGGAACAGTTTCAGGTTAAGAACAGACCTCCGGAACGAATTAAGTTCTTAACCAGAGGCACCACTGTACATATATACACAATAATTAAAAACTAAATAAAACAGCAATAGTAAAATAGTAATAATAGAGATTGATGATATACATTAATATTGGGAATACACCAAAATTAAAATCTGGTAAAATTTTATTTCACGGTTTATTATTGTTTATATTTTGAGTTAGTTATATATGGAGGCACCAAAACCTTTTAAGTGCATAGAGCCTCTAAAGGTCTTAATTTGCCCCTGCCGCTTCCTATGCTACTATGAATTTTATTGACTAGGAACCACCTCTGGTTTTTGCTAACCTTTCCTGTTTCAAGCAGGGGTGTAATATACAGTACAACTGCATCTTGCAAGTAAGTAACTCACACAATGCCAACCTTGTGTGGTTGGAAGGAGGCTGGTTGAAATGTCACAGATTAAACACATACGAGGCAGAGAACTTAAAAGTTCCTTTTGTGTTGGGTTTGGAAGGTAAGGATGGTCGTGTGGCAGTGGTTTGGATATATGATACAGTGGTGCCCCGCAAGACGAATGCCTCGCAAGACGAAAAACTCGCTAGACGAAAGGGTTTTTCGTTTTTTGAGGTGCTTCGCAAGACAAATTTCCCTATGGGCTTGCTTCGCAAGATGAAAACGTCTTGCAAGTTTGTTTCCTTTTTTGTAAAACCGTTAATACCCAGGGTGCATTGCTTGAAGAGGTGCAGTTGCGACTTGACTTCGAGGAGCAACTCCTAGCACGCGGTGTGGTAGCCTTTTTTGAGGTTTTTGAAGACTTTGGTGATTTTTGAAGCTTTTCCAAAACTTCTTTTGCAGCCATTTGGTAAGTTAAACTTTTAAAACTTTTTTGGGGGGTTTTGGATTTTGGGTTGGGGTGTTTGGAATTCAAGGACTTGGTGTTGGGGAGGGGTTTGCAGGAATCTGGAAGCTTGTGTGGTTTTTTTCTGCATTTTTATGATTTTCTGTGACCATTGGGCCACTCTGCTGTTTTTTTTTTAAAAAAAATCTGGGTTTGAATTTCTGTGTACTGTACACTTTGTTGATTTTTAAATGTTTTTCTGTCATGTTTAGAAACTTAATTTATTGTTCCTTCAATTTTTGAAATGCTCTTTACAGTATGTGTGACTTTAAAGAGCACTTAATAAATTCTTGTTGTACCAAATTTGGCTTTGTTTGGACTTTTTTTGACCATAGGAACGCATTAATTGAATTTCAATGCATTCCTATGGGATTTCGTGCTTCGCAAGACGAAAAATTCGCTAGACGAAAAAACTCGCGGAACGAATTAATTTCGTCCTGTGAGGCACCACTGTATTTTGCATACATGCATCCTTCCTGGAACGTAACCCCCACACCACTAAATCCAGATTAAATAGCGGAAAGTTATGGTCTGGTATTTTGATGAAAATTATGCCATTTGGATGCTGCAAATAATGTATGAAGAGCATGCACGAGGAGGACTGATTCCACAAGAAACATGTCTCAAAAAGCCCCTTCTATCTCTGTCTATTCTGATGCAGGTGCTATTTGTGGTGCAAACACACCATAATAATAAACAGATTTGACTTGGAAAGCTCAAAGGAAAAACTGCTGCCACTGTATGATGCACAGAGTCAGAATCAATACAACTCTGAAAGAATTGTTGTACAATTACTAAATTAGACTTTATTAAAGCAACTCAGGAGGGTTAGAACTAGTTTTGTGATCAGAAACATCAGGGATTGTGAAAACACAACTGTCTTGAACTAGGCTATAAAGAGTGAAGCGGATTTTGTACTAGAATGATGTGCAGCATTGGATATTCCCATGACATTAAGCTGCTAACTGTGGATTTTCGACTCACACAATAAATGGCAACCATTTACTCTAAAGCTCTGTATAATCTTTCTTACAATAGCCCGAGGCACATTACTGCAATTTTACAAACCAGAAGCCTTGCATTAAAACAGTTTGGGTTCAGTGTTTTAATTTTCTCTCCTGTTTAGAAGTAGTTTGGAGGAGGGTAGAGGGGGAACCTGAGTGAAAATGTCAGAAACACTTCTAGAAGTAGTCAGATAATTGGTTCTATACAGAGACGCATCTCCTAGGTCAGAGGTCCTCAAACTACAGTCTGCAAGCAGCTTTCAGGTGGAAAGAGGAATGGCTGCTAGGCTCTTCTAACACTAATAGGTTGTTCATATAATGTTTGCCATTTAATATAGCCCAGTCTTTATCCCACTCTGCGTTGTTAAACGTTTTTATATATGGAATTGTTTTTAAACGTTTGTATTGGCTTGTATCCAGTGCAGAACTAAGTAAGCACTCCATCAGTGCAAGAATAGTAGATAGATAGATGATGATAGATAGATAGATAGATAGATAGATACATACATACTTACATACATACATACATGCATAGAGATAGCTAGCTAGATGATGTCTTCCTCCATGTAAGACAAATTTCTTCTCAATTTCATATGCTGGACTTCCCTTCCTCCTTAGAATATATTTTGAAACATTTGAAGGGGGTTCAAAGACTCTAAACATCAGGGCCAAGATAATCTCATTTGATTAAAATGCCATAAGGTTGACCATAGCCCATCCAAATTGCACAAAGCATTATATATGAGCCAGTCTTGGGATGACCTGGTGCTGAGACATTTTGGGAGGCAGATTTACCTGAAGCTTTCCCCGCAGAGCTCAATTTGGCAGCATATCTGCAGCTGGCACCAAGTCCTCCGCAGTAGCACAGATGTCATATTTTATAGTACACTCAGTGAACTGGACACCTGTCAAATTACATTGTTCTATCCTCTCAGCCTCCAAGAAGTACTGGCCCTGTAGGAATAAATGGGGAAATTTTTAACAGACCCATTTGCAATTTTATAGTGGTTAATGACCTTAGAGAACAAAAATGGAGATGCCATTTGTGGATTGTGGTGGATGTCCAAGCGCTGCTTCCTCCTTCTGTTTAGGTGATTCTAAATTCAGGCCTTGCACCTTTCCTGCTGAAACAGATGTTCCTCCCTAACAAAGTTTCATTACTGGAAATTAGAACTCTATGACTGGCTTAATTTGTGGAAGATGCTGCCAAATTGGAGAGGGCTCAAGGGGAAGCAGCAAAGATGATCATACATTTGGAGGGTAACTCAAGTTTTAGAAGGTTGAGGAAGAAAAAACAATATAAGGAATGCAAAGTTTTGGGGGCAGCCACACTGAGGGCATCTTCTCTTCTGCCCACAAAAAACAGAACCCCAGAATTCCTGGATCTGGCACTGTACAGTTTGCTCCTGTGAAATATAAAGGATGATGCAATATGAGATACAGAGCATGTGGCTTCCACTCTTTATCCTATGGATAGGTGTGGGAACACTTTCCAAGGACATACAATGGAACAACGTTGCCTTTGATGCAGGGAGGGGCAACCTGTGGCCCTTAGCTTAATCTCATGCGTGTGTACCCTGAGCCTTATTTCATGCAGGTTGAGAGAGGGGGGAGCCCTGAAAGACAGAAGGAGACTAGGTAGGGGGAAATGGGAGGGGGGAAATGAATTTGTGGAGTGATGGCAAAAGCCCTCTGCGAGTGAGCCTTTCAGACCTCTGTCAAGTGCTGGGTGAGAGTAGGGAGTAGAGAGAGGGAGAGAGAAAGTGGTGTTAGAAAGACAAAGGAGGGGCTGAAAGAGAGAATAAGAGAGAAGTGGCCCTGCCTCCTGTTGCCTTTAACCTGTCCACTACTGGCCCACAACACCCCCAGCATTAATTAATTAATTAGGATTTATTGCCCACCCTTCAGTACAAGTTGTTGTTGTTGTTAGGTTGCCCCAGCCACTCTAGGTGGCTTCCATCAAATTAAAACATCAAACACAGTAAAATATCAACCATTAAATATATCCCTAAAAAGGGCTGCCTTCAGACGTCTTCTAAAAGTCAGATAGTTGTTTATTTCCTTGACATCTGATGGGAGGGAGTTCCATAAGGAGGGTGCCACTGCGGAGAAGGTCCTCTGCCTGGTTCCCTGTAGCTTCACTTTTTGCAGTAAGGGAACTGCCAGAAGGCCCTCAGAGCTAGATCTCAGTGGAGATGTTCCTTTAGGTATACAGGGCCAAATCTGTTTAGGGATCCCAGGGTGGATCACAATATCAAGTTATAAAAACAAGGTGAACGATTATAGATATTTATACAAGCAAAATGATAAAATCATTCCAATGAAAAACATAAGACTATAGATACTTCAAAAGTGGTGGGACCCACAGGACAAACTACCTGAACAGTTGAAAGGCAGTTAAAGGTAAAGAGGTCTATTCTCAACATACAGGGGAAGCTGTACAGCAAGGATGTTAGATGCACCTCCATGGGGAAGGAGCTCCATTTAGAGACTGTCCCAGGCCAGGAAAAGGTGGTTTCCTCACCACCAGTTGAAGGAATAGATGTGTATTTTGTCTCTGAGTAACAGCTCTATCCTTAACCAACTTGGCAGTCTACATTGTGCTCTGTTATCTCACCCAGATCGACAACGTGAGAGTTAGCAAGGGCACGAGATCACTGAGTACATGGAAAA